TCCGTGCTGGAGACATCTGTCCTCCCAGGAGATTCTTCTCCCTGCTTGGAGCGTGGGTGGGTTTTGCAGGACGGTCCCCATCACCCGGCGTAGGGCTGAGGGACAGTCTGCTCTTGGACACGATGCCCTGCTTGCTGCTCCCCCCAAACCCTTTGCTCTCCCACTGAGCTCCTGTGCACGCACACACAAATAAATATAAATAATATTTTGTCAACAGCGTGGGGTGGGGGGAAGTTTTGAGCTGTGCAGACTTGTTTGTGAGGAAGAGCAGCTGAAGACCTCCCTTGCCTTTTCCACCTTGTTTACACCTGCGAGGCTAGTTATTAAATTAAAAATACACATGCCCTTTGGGCTTATGTCTGTTTTAAGCACCAAGGGGTGTATTTTAGGGCTTCTCTAGTCTGCGCCTTTAGAAATATGGGGTGCTCTGGCCCTTTCCCATGTTGCCTTCGTGTCTGTCCCCCAGGACCTCCTCTGTGGTCACTGAGGGGTTTGGTGGTGCTGAGGGGCTGGTTCTGGGCACAGAGGGCACCAAGGACCCCCCAAGCCATGGAAGCTGCACATCCCTGGGACCGTCATGGTCATCTGAGGTACAGGGTCCCCTGGGGCTGCAGACAGCTGACTCCCTTGTCCTCATGTTCCTTGCCTGGAAACCAAGCAAATAACGTTATTACCAGGTTTGTGCTAACTAGTAGCACAGGTTAACCCAAATTTAGTCGGTGTCCTGCAGTTTGAACAGGAAGGTAGTAATGTTTGTGCCATACCTCTTCTGTCTGGGCTGGGGCAGAGGAGTGTGCTTGGCTTCACCGAGCAAAGGGGGATGAAGGAAATGACTCCTCCTCTTGCTGTTTCTGCCCTGTTTGTGCCGTTCTGTCCCAGAAAACCACCAGGGAATTGGAAAACCCAGAGCGTTTGCTGGTGGTCCCATCCCACATCTCCCCCTGCTCGCTGGGGCGCTGATGCCCCGGGCACTGGCAGGTGTCTGTCCCGGTGGGGTTCTGCCACGATCAAAGGGTGTTTACTGTCCTGGGGACAGGGAAAGGCTGTGTTATGTCAGGTGCGACCGGAGGCTAACACAGGATTTTATCCTTGGGGCTTGATTCCCATTTTCCGGAGCTGTTTAGAAAGTGCCATGGGCAGAGGGGTTCCCGGTGCCGGAGCGGAGCAGGTAGAGCATGGATTTATCCATCTTCCTCTGAAGCCAGCCAGGTTTGTTATTGCTCTCCCTCCAACTCAGCAACAAAGCCCAGTTTCCTTGTTTGTGTTTGCTGGGAATGTCAGGGGGATGATGGATTTGGCTGGAAAGGTAAATAATCTGCTGGGCTGAAGTGTAGCCCAAGCAACCCTGAGAATGTGCAGTCGCTATCTTGAAGGCTTTTCATTTCTTACGTTTGATTTGACAGATTTTGGTGATTGCTCCAATATTTTCACTCTGCTTTGGACCCACACTGTTTATTTCTGTTAGAAGTTACTTAAACATCCCAAATTTGTTCTTCTTAAACAGTTGCTTCGGTTTGTAGAGGCTTTAAGGCAGTCGATGCCTCTGACTTAGCTTGCAGTGCAAATAAATAAATAATCGGCTTCCAGGATTTCCAATTTAGTTCTGTTTATTTTCTTTTAATACACACACAGGCACACACAAAGCTGGATCTGCAGGACCTGGTGATGCGTTGGGTTAATTCCATCCTTGTTTGTTTAAAAGTGATGCACTGCAATGTCCTGGAGCAGGGAGATGGGGCACGTTGGAGAGATGCAGCCAGCGCTGTTTGGAACATGCTGAATTAAATGTCTGTGCTGCCGGAGGAGAGGTGGGCATTGCTGTGGCTTCTGGAGGAAGGAGAAGTGTGGACAGCTTTTGGGTAAGAGAAGGCCACGGGGTTGATGGATTTGCCACATGAAGCCCGAGTAACAATGAGTTTGTGAGATGTCTTCTGCCTGCAGTACCATGCTGCACACTTGAAAGATTATCTGAAACCTCTCACAGGTCTGCAAACTTGGCTTTGCTGTGCTGCACAGAGGAAACAGGCTCCCCCCTAACACAGACACACGTGGCTGCCTCTTCCCACCCCACCTGATTTTGCAGCAAATGTCCAACAATCCTCTCCCTTTCTCCTGCCATCCTGTAGTGGCAGGAGCCCTGGGTGGGCTCAGTGGTGCTGTATGGATGCACTTTTGGTGCTGTGGCGTGTTTGACTCGGGGAGTTAATTGCAATTAGCCCTGCTGTGGGAAGCATATGATGTCACAGCAGGGACATCTGCAGCACCGGGGTCCTTCCCAAGCTGGGTCCTTCCCAGGGCTTCTGCCACCGGTGTGTCCCTGGAGCAGCAATATCCAGGAGGTCTCCAGATGCTGACTCTCAGCCTGCAGATGTGGATGAGACTCTTTAGGGACTCTGCTGCCTTTTGGATGTGTCCCTCTAAGAGAAACAACAGTCGTTAGGGCTGGAGCTATAGGGAGTTGCTACCTTAATTGAGGCTAATTAAGAGTGTAAACTCTTTGGAGCAGGGCCCTCTCTTTGTTTCAGCCCTATAGGCACTATAGTCAAACAAATAAGCAAAGTGATAAAGCTGTAGCCATGTAACACAGCTTTTACTCAAGAAATGAAGCCTATTGTTTAATTGTAGCATTGCCAAGCTGAAAAGGAGCAGGGGGAACCCCCCCCTCGCCCCGTTAATGCTGGTGCTTTGAAATGCTTACAGCTGCTATCACATAAAACCCATGAAAGGATTATTTTCGGAAACTTTGTTGGCACGACCGTAAGGTCATTCTTAATTGTCAGCCAAAGTCATGCTATTTTGGGGCAAAGCGTGTTGAATTTGCTCAGTGTTTGGGGCTGGCTTCCCGTGTCCTGAGATGGGTGGAGCCGGGGGACGAGGAGCAGCCCTGGGACATGTGTGTGGCACGGGATGCTCTGTGGGATGCAGGAGGGAGGTGCAGAGAATCATAGAATCGTCTAGGTTGGAAAGGACCTTAAAGATCATCTAGTCCAACCATCAACCTAACTCTGACACACAAAAAAAATAAGAAGAAGAAGAAAAAAAAGACGCAGTTCTTGGGGTTCATTAGAACAAGGGCTGCTTGGAGCAGGGCTGGAAGCCAGGCAGTGGTCAGGGCATCGCGGAGCAGGCAGAAGTTCTCCATCCTGATTTAGGGTACAAGGTAATTTGTCTCTTGTAGTAGGTTGGTGGTAATTTATGGTTGAGGTTTTCTTCCAGGAGCATCTTACCAAGGTCTCCTTGGGGGACGGTGTGCAATCAGGGATGTCCAGTGGGCAACAAAGCCCAGTTTCCTTGTTTGTGTTTGCTGGGAATGTCAGGGGGATGATGGATTTGGCTGGAAAGGTAAATAATCTGCTGGGCTGAAGTGTAGCCCAAGCAACCCTGAGAATGTGCAGTCGCTATCTTGAAGGCTTTTCATTTCTTACGTTTGATTTGACAGATTTTGGTGATTGCTCCAATATTTTCACTCTGCTTTGGACCCACACTGTTTATTTCTGTTAGAAGTTACTTAAACATCCCAAATTTGTTCTTCTTAAACAGTTGCTTCAGTTTGTAGAGGCTTTAAGGCAGTCGATGCCTCTGACTTAGCTTGCAGTGCAAATAAATAAATAATCGGCTTCCAGGATTTCCAATTTAGTTCTGTTTATTTTCTTTTAATACACACACAGGCACACACAAAGCTGGATCTGCAGGACCTGGTGATGCGTTGGGTTAATTCCATCCTTGTTTGTTTAAAAGTGATGCACTGCAATGTCCTGGAGCAGGGAGATGGGGCACGTTGGAGAGATGCAGCCAGCGCTGTTTGGAACATGCTGAATTAAATGTCTGTGCTGCCGGAGGAGAGGTGGGCATTGCTGTGGCTTCTGGAGGAAGGAGAAGTGTGGACAGCTTTTGGGTAAGAGAAGGCCACGGGGTTGATGGATTTGCCACATGAAGCCCGAGTAACAATGAGTTTGTGAGATGTCTTCTGCCTGCAGTACCATGCTGCACACTTGAAAGATTATCTGAAACCTCTCACAGGTCTGCAAACTTGGCTTTGCTGTGCTGCACAGAGGTAACAGGCTCCCCCCTAACACAGACACACGTGGCTGCCTCTTCCCACCCCACCTGATTTTGCAGCAAATGTCCAACAATCCTCTCCCTTTCTCCTGCCATCCTGTAGTGGCAGGAGCCCTGGGTGGGCTCAGTGGTGCTGTATGGATGCACTTTTGGTGCTGTGGCGTGTTTGACTCGGGGAGTTAATTGCAATTAGCCCTGCTGTGGGAAGCATATGATGTCACAGCAGGGACATCTGCAGCACCGGGGTCCTTCCCAAGCTGGGTCCTTCCCAGGGCTTCTGCCACCGGTGTGTCCCTGGAGCAGCAATATCCAGGAGGTCTCCAGATGCTGACTCTCAGCCTGCAGATGTGGATGAGACTCTTTAGGGACTCTGCTGCCTTTTGGATGTGTCCCTCTAAGAGAAACAACAGTCGTTAGGGCTGGAGCTATAGGGAGTTGCTACCTTAATTGAGGCTAATTAAGAGTGTAAACTCTTTGGAGCAGGGCCCTCTCTTTGTTTCAGCCCTATAGGCACTATAGTCAAACAAATAAGCAAAGTGATAAAGCTGTAGCCATGTAACACAGCTTTTACTCAAGAAATGAAGCCTATTGTTTAATTGTAGCATTGCCAAGCTGAAAAGGAGCAGGGGGAACCCCCCCCTCGCCCCGTTAATGCTGGTGCTTTGAAATGCTTACAGCTGCTATCACATAAAACCCATGAAAGGATTATTTTCGGAAACTTTGTTGGCACGACCGTAAGGTCATTCTTAATTGTCAGCCAAAGTCATGCTATTTTGGGGCAAAGCGTGTTGAATTTGCTCAGTGTTTGGGGCTGGCTTCCCGTGTCCTGAGATGGGTGGAGCCGGGGGACGAGGAGCAGCCCTGGGACGTGTGTGTGGCACGGGATGATGCTCAGTGGGATGCAGGACGGGGGTGCAGAGGCAGCTCTTGGGGTTCGTTAGAGCAAGGGCTGCTTGGAGCAGGGCTGGAATCCAGGCAGTGGTCAGGGCATCGCAGAGCGGGCAGAAGTTCTCCATCCTGATTTAGGGTACAAGGTAATTTGTCTCTTGTAGTAGGTTGGTGGTAATTTATGGTTGAGGTTTTCTTCCAGGAGCATCTTACCAAGGTCTCCTTGGGGGACGGTGTGCGATCAGGGATGTCCGGTGGGAGGACAGGTAATGTCAGGAGGGAAATCACTTGCAATAACACTTAAAAGCGTAATAAACTGAGAGTGCAGTTAAAGCTGTGAAATGTTCTGGGAGCAGAAGAGCTCCTGGTGCCAGATGCCAGTTTCCCTCGGATTGACCTGGAGTGTGGATCCCTCGGTGGGACGGTGCCTGCCGGGTGTGCATGGTGACACGGGGACCAGGGTGCAAGGAGGGCTCTGTCACCCTTAGTGAGGTGCCCACCACATGGATGTGGCTCTAAAGCCTTAATGAGGGCTGGGGAAGGGAGCTTCCATGGTTTTGTTTCAGCGCGCCCAACAAAACAACCTAATATCTACCCAGTGCCTGCAGCCATTTGGAAGCAGATTAAAAGTTTTCATCGGCTCTTCTTAATAGAGCCAGATAAACCAGGCTAATAGTCATGTGTTGAGTTATTGAAGGGAAGTTCAGGTAATATGCAATCACCTTTAACCTTCGGCTTCCTAAGACCTCCTGCTTAGCGATTGTTTGTCTGTGGTGTAAACCATAGTCCAGTTCATAAATTATTATGTAGTTCCACTAACCTTAATGCAGTACAGGTTTCACGGTGTTTCATTTTGTAGTGTAAGCTAATTCTGGCTGTGCACACAATAAAGCTCCAATGTTGCTAGAATTAACCCTTTCCCTGACAGCTAGGAGTTTGTCAGTGAGTGAATTATCGCTACTTGTGCGTCGGTGTCTATATTGTGTTCATGGGCATCATCCACCTGTAATTCTATCTCTTTTTTGTTTCTAAATCTGAAAAGTTCCCTGAGTGAAACATAGCAGGAAGTTTTTGTAAAAAATTAATAAAAAAAGATCTAAGGTGTCATTTTTAGAATTTAAAGTTAATACCACTATGATGATTTCAGCCTAAAATTTATGGTTAACAACTTTACACCCAGGATAGTAGAAAAATATGTTTTGGTATCACGTCACACATGATAATTTTCTGATACTTTTTGAGTATGAGACAGTAGATCCCGTGGATTTTATATTATTGTCTCCACTGATTGTAGCAAGGAACTGGTCCTGGAGGATGTTCAGAAGTTGGGTATCTCTGTTTGAGCCTGCCTCATCATTTGACATGTCAGGAGGTGCAGCTGAGCCCCCCCTTGAAACATGAATATTGGAAACCTGCCTAACGCCAGCCACACAGAGCTATTCCCTTCCTTCGTTTGCGTAATTTCAATCGATGAATTTTATGCCCAGGGATTAATTTGCAATCTTGAACTTGTTTCTCAATGTTTGGGGGTGTGGCGGTGCGTGGCTTTTTTTAATCCTGGTGGGTTTTGGCTTTTTTGCTACGATGTGCTGTAGTTTAGTTTGTTCAGAATTGCTGCAGGAGTACGACAGATCTCACCCACCTAAGGCATTGTTTGGTGCTGCTGGAGCAGGGAGCGAGGAGCGGGGCTGGCTGCCCTCCCGGCTGCGCAGGGGCGATGCTGCCCTCTGCGGGAACACCAGCCCCCCAGCCCCAAGGGCTCCCCAAACCCCTCTCCTCCTCCTCCTCCCTCCCTCCAGCCTCTCCTCTCCTCCTGCTTTTCCTCGTCTGCCTGCACTCAGAGAGCCTTACCGCACAGCTCACTGCCACGCGTTGTAATCACGCCATGGAACGACCTCATGGTTAGTCCTAACTGCAAAATACTGTGCTACTTATTTTTTCTCACCGTGAAGACCCTAAAATTAAAGCATTGAACCACCATTCAGCAGCAGCCCCTCTCTGTTGCACTTCTCTTTGCCCACACTTTCCCTGATGATGGGTGCTGCATCTCGGGCTGGATCGCAGCGTGGTTTCTTGGGGTGCTGGTGGACGTGGGTGGGTTGCTCACTCCCACCATGCTTGGACAAGGGCTCCCATGGGAGTGGGAAGAAGCTGTCCCATATAGAAGAGTGCTTTCCCCAATGTACAACAGTCTTGACCTTTTCCTCCATAATAAGCTAGTATTTCCTCCATAATAAGCTAATAGATTCATATTGCTTTAATAATAATGCATTAATATAATGTACTTAGGGTTTGGTTGTTTAATTTCTTCTAATGCATTAATATAACGTACTTAGGGTTTGGTTGTTTAATTTCTTCTTATGAACATCTGTGGAACGTGCATAAGAAGACAGGGCAACACAAAGTCTCTGGGTAGCACCAGATGCAGTGTATTCATACACCTTTTTTTAATCCCTGTTTTTCTGAATTTGTTTCAATAGTTCTTCCTCCTATTCAGCAGTTATTGTTTTCTATTTAAGTAGCAGTTGTCCCACCTTACCCCATGGTGAGGGGTGGCTGATGTGCAGCATAACTGAAGGATAAGAAAAGGTCGAAAACCTTTTGAAATGGAGAGCAGAATCCTGTTGCTTGTGGGGACTCTGAGTCACTGTAGCAGGAGGTGCACAAGCATTTTGGGTCTGTTTATGCCCAGGCTGCTCGGCAGATTTTTCTATTTGGACTTCGACATTGTAATTTTTTTTAATGGAGAAGCTGTAAGAGATGAAATACAGATATTGCTGTTGGACTAAGTAAACCTTATGGAGGAGCTGCCGTTTTCTGCAAGCAGTTGCCTTTCGCCTTGCTCTCCAGCAGCCCTGTACACCGACGTTCTCAATGTTTCTTGTTTTTGGAAAAAGTTATTGCTTCATTAGCTCTGCAGGACCTGGATCGTATCCATGAGGTGGGAGATTTGCACCAGAGGAACTGGACTGCCATTGAGGCCCACCTCGTCTCTGATCTCTGTCCAGCTGGCTTTGGGAAACCCCCTACTTTCTTGGTCTTCAGTTCCTTCTCCTAGAGCTGGATCCAATCCCCTGTCCCGCTCCGCCGCGTTGGCTCACCTGTGAATCCCATTCTGACCCTCTGGCCCAATACCCAGGACCAGGTTACCTCCTGCTCCCCTTGGCTTGGGCCAGACCACCTCCTGTGCTTCCCATGCTCTCGGCCCACTCCCACCCTGCTCATGGTGCCCCTCTTGTATTATCCCACTCAACCATGTCGTACAGACCTTGCTCAGTCCAAACAGGAGTCTCTTACGGCCCCTTCGTCCCCTTGCAGCCAGACTTAAAATATAGTAGTGCTTCTCAGGAGACCCACCCTATCTGCCTGCTCTTCCTGCTGGGCCAGAGCTCTTCCAGCTGGGTTCCCTGCCCTGTCAGTTCCTTCTCATCTTCTTCTAGGGTGGGTGTCCATCACTCTTCTTCCCCAGTCCAGCAAGAATAATCTCCGGAGGTCCTTGGAGACTGACTGTCGTTCACACTATCGTGATGTCCTCTACAAGAGGGTTCTCAAACTTGCAGAGCCACAGTTCCTCTTCTCCTGGCACTCAGCATGGTACTAATGAGGGGAACTGTCCTAATCTTTCCTTTCTCAAACAGGCCACCCAACTGCTGCTGGCAAAACATTCAGGACCAGCTCAAGGGAAGATTTGGCTGTACTTTCTTTTAGGTTTCTGTCACCTCATTGCGAACACTGTGTGGTCCAATGTGTCTCTGGACAGCTTCTTCCCTCTTCCCTTTGAACAGTGGCTAATAACCAACTTGCTGGTTGAAAGCAGGAATGAGTCTGCACTGGTAACTTTATTTCTGCTGAAGTATCTGCCCTCACGCTGCCATGTGCACGGCTTCATCAGGATGGTGAATGCCATTTCTTCATCCCCTTTCCAGCCAAGGGCTCAGCCCCCAGAGTGGATTCTCTCATACGTGGTTTGCAGGTTCTGCTGACTCTCCTGGGAGCTCTGGAGCCCCTTTTCTCTCTGAAATTGAGCAACATGATTATTGTCATCTTCCACTGACCCTTGGCAATCAAATACAAGACTCTTTTGGGTTGAGTCTAGTCCACTGTAAAAATGGAGTTAGAAGAGGTTTGAGATATCTCCAGGCAGCCAAGCCCCCAGCCAAGTATTTCTGTTGTTGAATTGTGGATTTCATTTATCTTCCCTCCCAAAATTGTCTTTTCTGCTCCAGGCATGGCACATCCGCCAACAAGGCAGCAAATAGCTGTGACTGTCCTGAGGCAAATATGAAACTGTTGATTCAGAAAGTGCCAGGAAACACGGGACATTTCTCAACTCCATCCCACCTCTGGAGCCTTTTCCATTTGGTACTACGGATGGGCTGTTTGTTGGAGCAGCAAGTTGATTTTAAAATGCTCAATTTTGAGGGAGAAACACTGTTACCAGCAAGCTGGTCCGTGGTGAGGTGCTGTGGACAGTTGTGGGGGTAACAGTAGGAGTTTCCAGCAGCACCCCAACTCAATAGAGATGGTGACACGGTTGTATCATGTAGTGTAAGTTGTACTGATGCAGTTGCAGCAGATGGAGCGATGGTACGTGCAGGTCCTCCCCAGGTTCTGGGTACAAAGCCCCTCCTATTCTGCGTCGCCACTCGCATCTCCTTGTACCCGCCGGATTTTTATTTATTTTTTTTTTTTCCAAGGAGTCCGTTTTCCTCCCAGCAGCAGCAGCAGCCGCCGATGTTAGTTTTTCCATATCCACCGGGAACCACACTCCTCGTTAAAGCTGTTCCAGGGTGGGAGGAGGGGAGGGATCCAGTTCCTTCCAACAACACGCCATCCCGCTCGCAGCAGCCACGGCGCTGGGGCGAGTGGAGAACATTGACCCATTGAGGGAAGCGGTGGCCGCCGAAGGCACATACATACCTGTGAAAGGCTCCCGCTCTCCTTGCTGCAAGCTGACACCTATTGGCACAAAGACGTCCTGGATAATTTAAGAATCCTCTTTAAATATAACCAGAATAAGAACAAAAGCATAATTTTCACATTCTGGTTTGCTTCTTTGTTACCAAACTTGGCAAAGGAGTCCTTCAAGTGCAGATTTACCCAGCTCCTTCCCTTTCCTGGGCTTGTTTATCTGTATTTATTAATT